TTTATTTATTTATTTATTTATTTATTTATTTATTTATTTATTTATTTATTTATTTATTTATTTATTTATTTATTTATTTATTTATTTATTTATGTCATTTCCTAGCAAGAGTTTCCAAGCGTATGTTCTTTAAAAGTTGTATTTCAAGAGCCACAGCGCTCATTCAAATTTTAGTGTGTTTTACACGGTGCGTTGTTATACATCGCAAGATACCATATCGAGTATTACGCGTTCCGACGATTGCGACGTTTTAAGAGTAATTTCTGTTTTTCAATACATATACGAAAGTTGCGTGTTTGGTCTAGTGTAAGAGTGTATTTTCTGATTATGTATCATATATTAATTAATGAATAATATATTGATTACACTTATTATTTTGAGATACTGAATTGTTCGAGTTGCGGACATCGAGTTACGAAAACATCGAGTTACAAAAATGAGCAAGCCCATATTTCAGAAATCACGCCCACTTTTGCAAAACCACGCCTAAATTGTAACTCGATGTTCAATTAACCTATTATTTTGTTTTTATTGAACATTAACATTTAGTAACTCGAACTTTAATTAGCAGAGTTAACCGAACTACGGGCAATAAAGAATCATTTTGGAAATGCCACGTAATCGTTCCATATTTGGAATTCACTTATCCAAATAAGGAAGGATTCAGATACCCCGTGCAATAACGCAACATTACGTGTAGCTTAGCAAGGAAATAACATCGAATACGCGCCGTGACGTCCCGGCGATGATCGGCGATTTGGTGCCGTGCGCGAGCGTAGATTCGAGTCACACACGCAGTACATTTTGGTGTTATTTCCTTGTTTTTCGTTCTTTGTTAGCAGTACTATGATTTTACAATTATTTGTCATGATGTAGTTTACGCGTACGGTGACACGACTACAGATGTATAATAATTTTGTTATCATGAAAGGTATTGGTATTGTATTCTCCTAATGCTAAAAAAGTAACAAACATTTGCACCAAACTCTAAAGCGCCCCAGTTAATACTGTCCTACCATCACATTGGTCCCATGCTACGTATCACAACGTCTGTAAAATATCCGGTTTGTTTGCTTAGATTCGAATACACGCTGTGCAACAATCACGACGTTTCACAGCACTGTTAAACGTCCACGCTACTTCAAATATAATACATGTATTCGGGATTATCATAGTAAGATTACATTGTGCAATAATCGTGGTTATTCGAAGCTGGTCGCCGTGCACGTTATTAATCAACTTCGGAACACATCTACGAGTTACTGGCGTGACTAGAATACGACGCGTAAGTTGAGGCGAAGCATATATACAAGGCAGTATTTCATACGTCAAAAAAGTTGCTCTCTGATTGGTCTAACAGATGTTATGTTTAAGTTACCAATCTAGTAGAATTTTGTAAGTAACTGCATATTGACTCTTAAATAACCATGTACTATATTGGTAGACGCACGTGGTGAGATATGATAATGAGATATCGTGAAGTTCTCGTTGTCAATTACACCCCCACCTACACAACGTACCTTAGGAATGAAATATGCGGTATAATTGGTCATTATTTCCGAAGAGAAGTATTGACAGATAGAGTGCGAATTGTCAGCCACTTATGTATTTAGTTTGAACGTCATTGTGAACACGATGCTTTCCTCCACATATATATAGTTGAGTCAAAGCACAAAAGCAGGTTTTGATACGTCGAGAAAAAAGCTGCTCTCTGATTGGTCTGACTGTTAGGTTTCAGGGTCTGGTAGCCAATCACAATCATTGTAAAAAGTAACTTCGCATTGACTCTACATACGGTGTATTATGATATTGAACATATGGTTTCATGACTTTAATTTGCTTATGACCAAAATTTGACGACCTTTATACAATAAGTATACGTATTAAATAAATATTACGTTTAATTATCAATATTGCTCGAAGTTGCATTATATTAAATTCTAAAATTCACATATGTAACAGCAGTTTGTTTTATGCGGTACTGTCGCGTTCCACTATAATTAACAATCGTCTGAAAGTAAAATAATGTTTGAAACTTAGATAATTTTGACCTAGTACTCAAAATGTAGGCATTGATAACATTTATCATATGGTTTGAGGAATCACTTTCTAGGCATATATAGTTAGTCGTTATTTGTTTTCGATACATACACTCCCCTTACCCTAGAGTTTTTAACTGTCAACCGCTTACATGGACATCCGAGTATACCAGATGCATTTATTCTAAGCAA